AGTTTTGGATGCCACTAAGATAATTGGAGAGGCGTTCTCTGTTCAGAAGGAGCTTCTTATTAAGGTCAAGCAAACTCAAGTCAGTTTTCTTCTATATATTTTATAATTTTGTACACGTACTATGTATATCAATAATACTTTAAAATCCCTGAAACTTTGTTTATACGAAGTTTTTGCTCTGATCACCTTGTCTCCTTGAATTATACAAGGCTATGAATGCATAATTACTTGTTAATTTCATTTATAAAGTTCGCCTCACTTCATTGTGTTATTGCTTAATCAGCTTCAGGTTGGCAGCATGGAATAGCCTTAATTCCGGGTTCCCAAATGCAGAACGCGTGAATTTGATTCACATCGATAGTATTGCAAGGCCTCTATAAGTTCGCGATGGCCATGCATGTGTATTTTCTATTTGAGATGATTGCAAAAATGCAGTAATATGGATCTTATAATTTAGGATAAGATTTGCTTCTCTGAAACTGTTGGTGAGTTTCCAGATTGAGTATGCCATTCAATTTGAGTCATATATATATACACCAGGGGTAATCCGTGCCCAAATACACTGAGCAATGTGAATGATTTTCAAAGAGATATTAGTGGCCGTTGGATGGGTCTATTTGAGACCGTTGGATGGGCTTATTGAACTTATTGAAGTCCGCTCTGTTTTATATTATAAAAATGAAGAGAGAGAGAGAGAGAGGGAGAGAGAGAGATGACATGATGTTGATTGCATGAAAGCCAAACTGATTTTGGCTATGCAAGTTCTCATTGCATGATGAGCCAATCCTCTTTGGGCATGATCTTGTGAATTGAATTGCTGTCCATTCTTCATTTTTCTTGTAAGTTGTACCTATGTCCATGTTGGTACTTTGATGCTGAAAGGGAGGATTTTGATGATGCAGAAACCTGACATGACTGGTTTAGGAGAATTTGTTAAACCATTGAATGATGTGATTATGAAAGCGAATGTGATGACAGAAGGAAGACGGTCTGATTTCTTCAACCACTTGAAGACCACTGCTGACAGTCTGACAGCGCTGGCATGGATCACATACGCAGGCAAAGATTGCGGTGAGAGAAATTGTGGATTGGTTTTTAATGCTTTAAATATACATGATTCTATATTATGACCTTGGTTCCTTATTCTTCTTTCCTCTTTTCTAGGGATGAGCATGCCTATTGGGCATGTGGAAGAAAGTTGGCAAATGGCTGAATTTTACAGCAACAAGGTTCTTTCATTATTGCCGGAAGCCATTCAGTCTTATGATACTACCTAGTTAAGATATCAGTTTACATAGAATTGAATAAGAGAACATAGAAAATTGAAATGCATGTAGAATATAGTTATCAAATCCTTTATTGTATCTCACTACTTCATGCTCCATTTTTTTTCATACTCCCTCCCATAGAACTATATCTGAAGAAAACATAGATATTTGTTCATGCGAGCAGGGCATTAAATCTTTTCAAATTGAAGTATACTGAGCTATGTACATGACCTCCGATAAAGAAAGCTGGTATGCATAGAATATTTGTTGGGAGATGGGTCTAAACAATATAAAGGGGATTTGTTTCCTAATATCCTTATCTATAAAAGGAACATTTCTCCATCACTCTATACAAGTGCAGAGTTCTGTATATCAAAAGAAGGAGCAAAAATTGTGTGGCACTATTTTTTCGGATCTGATAACTAGAAAGATTCCATTTTTTAATTGTCTGGTAATTTTACTTTTAACTTTTTGCATGTTTTCCAAATCATGACTTGTAAGTGTGCGAAGTAGTTGTAGGTGATATATGTATATATATAGTGCTACCTTCTACAAAGAGAAGTGTACCATGATACATATATGCTTCCAGCGGGCAATGGAATCGTCCTGTAAAGTGATTTTAGATGGTCAGTTCTGATTAGGTTTCAATGATGTTTAGGTTCTTGTAGAGTACAGAAATAAAGACCCAAATCATGTGGAGTGGGCTAAAGCTTTGAAGGAGCTTTATGTACCAGGTTTAAGGGATTATGTGAAAACTCACTATCCTTTGGGTCCTGTATGGAGTGCCACAGGAAAAACAACTGTATCTGCTCCCTTAAAAACTCCTACCTCAATTGCTCCTGCTCCTCCACCTCCTCCGCCAGCTTCACTCTTCAGTTCTGAATCTCCTCAGCCGTCAGCTTCACACCCAAAGGAAGGAATGGCTGCTGTTTTTCAAGAAATTGGTTCAGGAAAGTCGGTGACAGCTGGTAGTTTTCTTTCTTCCTTTTCCTCATTCTTTTTCGTCTTGTGGGTTGGGGTGTTTTTTTTATTTGGTTTTCTTCCTCCTGGGTTATTGGGCATTGCTTATTTGGTTTCTTCCTCTCAGGTTTGAGGAAAGTCACAGCTGATATGAAAACAAAGAACCTTTCTGATAGAACTAGCGTTGTTACTGCTAGTGAAAAAGGTCATGTTAGTTCCTCCTCATTCTCTAAAGCAGGTCCTGCAAAGTTAGAGCTTCAAATGGGTCGGAAGTGAGTTCACATTCTTGGTTATGGTGCTTCTTGGCCTATGGAAAAGGTTCATGTGGTTTTAAATTGTCCATTATGACTGTGCTGTACCTTGGGCAGGTGGGTAGTTGAGAATCAAATTGGAAGAAAGAATTTAGTCATTGATGACTGTGATGCAAAGCAAACAGTTTATATTTTTGGATGCAAAGATTCTGTTCTACAGATCCAAGGTAAGATTTTGTTATCTTAAGAGAATGTTCTTGCTCCCCAGATCTAAAAGTTAGGCTTCCAACAAATCATGAATGATTAGGTTCTTTTTGAGTAGAATTTCCATTAAGTCATGAAGATTTTATTGTTACCTTATCAATTTGCAGGAAAAGTTAACAACATAACTGTTGACAAATGCACGAAGATGGGTGTTGTATTCACGGTTAGTGAGGAAAATTTTCAATACTATAGCAGAATTTTGAACTTTAGAACTATATGTATAGCAAAAGTTTTGGGCTCTAATTGATTATGTTGTGAAAAACAGGATGTTGTGGCTGCTTGCGAGATTGTTAATTGCAATGGCATTGAGGTGCAATGCCAGGTAGCGTCCTTATTGGTGTTGGTTTTTTTTTTTTTTGGGGGGGGGGGTGGAGGGGAAGGATGTTGGTCTATAGTTTCCAATCTGCGTTGGTTGAATTTTGGTAATGATGTTTTCCATCCTTTTAAATATTATGCATGTCTTCACTTATAAGATATGCTAAGGCTCTGGAGAATGGAGTTTAGTTTGGTTGTGTAAGTAAGGTAACTTATTCTGATTTAAAAAAAAAGTTCTGTAACTTATAATTATTATGGCTATTACAGGGTTCAGCTCCTACCATTTCAGTAGACAACACTGCAGGGTGCCAATTATATTTAAGCAAAAATTCTTTGGAGGCTTCCATAACAACAGCTAAGTCAAGCGAAATCAACGTACTGGTACCAGGTGTTGAGCCTGATGGTGACTGGGTATTGTCCACTTTTTACTTGGTTTTCCACTTACTGTTAAACGCTCTCGTAAACTAAAACCCAATGACCCCACAATGATGAAGGATTTGATGATGCAATATCAAGTAGCATAATTTAATTCTTTAAAAAAACATGAAAAATATGTGCTGGCTAAGTAGATGATATAAATTTAAGACTCATTGACTGTGTTAATTGGAGTTCGAAGTCGTATTAAATGAAGTCAACACTTTAAGTTCCTCTCACGTGTACTTGCATCAGTAGTCACAAAGCACTCATGTTCTTACAATTTTTTTTTTGTAGACTAATTTTAAAGTGCAAAGTTGGAGAGAAAGTAGGAAAGGTATCTGACTATAGATTTCTGAACAGGATCATTATTGTTCAAGTGACCTTCGACATTATTAGTGGTAGATACAATTTATCTTTTCACTTGTTTCATGAGTAATTTTTTTTGCCATTTATAGGTCATGGATATGAATGTTTTATTACAGGCCAATCACTAGTTCTACTAACTTGTAAATTAGTAAGAATGCCTCATTTTAGCACCAAGTAGGAAATTGGTAATTTTAACAAGTGATGGCTAAACTCCATGACCTTTCTTTTATTTATTTTTCATTTTGATTTTTCTTTTTCACCAAGTGAACATTGATGAACCTCCGACCAATGAGTTGGGTCAAGCCTCAATGAATGGATATTGATGAAAGAATATAAAATAGAATGATTACATAAATATGCATACAGGTTTTAAATGATTATTTTTATGGTGTTTTGCTACTTCAGGGGAAAAAAAATCATGTAAGCTACTTACTGAGGCTTACTATGTGTGTTTGTTGCAGGGGAGCATTCTTTGCCTCAGCAGTTTGTTCATATATATAAGGATGGTCAGTTTGTCACGACTCCAGTCTCGCACTCAGGAGGGTGACTGGTGAAATTTTTCTAATTCAATTGCTGATGTGGGTTTCTTTTTTCTACATACCCTTCTGTTTTTTAAAATGTTAATTTGATTCGTTGAAAGGTTGAGGTTTGGTTTACTTTTTTGTTCTATTGGTTGTATTTGATATGTTTGAAATGTAACATACAATTTGTTTTTGTTTGCTCTATATATTGTTCAACGAACTGTTTTTGTAGTACCATTCTGCATGTTTTATGTAGAGGTGGTCAACCCAAAGTCATCGGTGGATTAAATTAGTCGATGAAGGTGGTTTTTTATGTGATTCTGCGTGTTACATTTTCGCAAGGATTTTAATAAGACGTGTAGTTTGAATGGTTCTTTGTTTTTATATATATTGTTTTATAGAATAATGTTAAACAGACAGATGTTTAGCCAAGAAGCAGTGCGATCCTACTACTTGTCTTCCTGGTTTCCACATGGGGTTGGTGTAGGTGGAAGGCTGGTAGGTGAAGTCATCCAAAGGAGTTTTAACGTCCGGTCCTCTATAATTCAGCGACATTGAGTGGAAAATGTTGATCTTTTTTTCTTGAGAAAGGAGAAAAAAGGTATGCAGTATGCAATGAAATCGATTTTTTGATTCAGTTACGGTCTTAATTATGAGGTTTTTGGATTTGTAATTGCTACATAAATTCATAATGTGTGTAATTATTTATAAAATCATTAGGGGTAACCCATTCTTGAAGTCACGATGCAATGTAAATGCTTTTGAGAGGAATATTGGTGGCTATTGGATGAGTTTATTTGAGACTGTCGGATAGACTTATTGAAACATGTCTTGTTTTATATTATAAATTATAGATGTGTTCTTTTTTTTAATAAGTTATAAAATCATGCGTGTTGGGTGTTAGGTGGAGTAAGGTATGATTTGAAATTATAGTCTCGGGATATTATTTTTAAAATCTATCATCCAAACACTCCATGGATTCTAAATGATTTTTATTCTGAATATTAAATCACTCAAAAGGCTATCTCAGATTGAAGCATGGTCAATAATGAGTCCAGGTTTTTCCTTGGAAGAGTTCTAGTTCTATTTCCTTTTTAATTGCAAAAATACTCTCTTAAGGTCGTTTGTTATTCGCCTTTTTAAGTTTTAGTTTCAACAAATAGGTATATTTAAATTTGAATATTTTATAATTAATTATAATAGTTAATTTTAGACCATAAAAAGTAATACAAGTTAAACTTAAGAAATTTATGTGATCTTTACTTTATTGAAAATGTGCAATTACTCCTAAAAAGAGTATATGGGTGTACACACCCTTGTGTTAGTGTTTGGTGGAGGTGGAGGCGATGATGAAGACGAACATGGTGTTGTGCAGTGTATTAAGTTAAATATATGTATTTTTTTTCCTTTTCCTTACTTTTTTAGGGATATAATTTAAATTTCAATAAAAAAATATAAATAATAATATACAAGATAGAGGGTGTAATGATATTTTTATGTTCTAACTTGTTAGTCAATTTAGTTTATTTAAAACTTATAGGGGATAAATTATATTATTTAAAATTATAGAGAACCGATTACAACAAAAAAAACATAATTAAATGAGAGAAATTATAATTAATCTTTTTTTTAATGTCTTATTAACTTGAGAGTTGGAATTCAAAACAACTCGAGTTGCAGCATCTAATTTTTATTGTGGACTTAAAAGTTAAAAAGGAAAACATAAAAAAAGAAAACATTTATTATTGTCTTTTGGCATATACTTTAATTAATTAATTAATAAATCCCATATACCTAACGTGCATTAAGGTATGACCATTTTAAGACGGCTCGAACCATCAAAATTCTTCGGCAAGAAGTAATTTCCTTTCTTAGTCTTCCTCTTTCTCTCTCTTAAGCCCCCCGAGTCACAGCCGTATGCATACCCACCGCTTCTCACTCTCTCTCTTTCTCTTGAAAGCAAAAGAAAGAAAAACAGAACTTTGTCCACAAGACCGCCAAGATCAGTGATTTTGAACGTTATTGCCATCTCACTCTCTCTCATCTTTTTCTAGAGAAATTTTCAGTAGGAGTGATACAGAAGAACGCTTCGACGACGGCGAACGATGTTTTTGCATTGTTCTTCAATTCTCTTTCTTCTCTGCTTTGCACTTCAATCTTTTTACTTGGCAAGTAAGTTAAAATCCCTCTTATTTATCCATATTTCCAATGCTGTTTTCGTTTTTTTTTTTGAGTTTCTGAGTGTTCAATCTTGATTTTCTCGCCGGATTTTCACCTTTTTTTTTTTCTGATAGAATTACAAACTTTTTGTAACTGTGTTTGAAATTAACTTCTTTAACCGTATTTTCGTTGTTGTTTTGGATTTTTGAGTTGAGTTTCTCGCCGGATTATAACCTTTTTTTTCCGATGAAAGAAAAAATTCTGCGAGTTAGTTTGAAATTCTCTTCTTTAACAGTATATTCGTTCGTGTTTTCATTATAGGTTTGAGTCTCTGAATGTTCAATCTTGATTTTTTTCCCTCTTTTCCGAGAAAAGTTTTTGAATCTTTTTTTTTTTGATTTTGATGTCCCGGAAAGTTCAGTCTTACTGCCGGAAAATTTGACACTTCGACAAGAATGTCGTTTACGCAGTCCGAGTAATCTAACTGTGTCAAGGTCTATTGGGTCGCAGACTCACAATCGTTCATTGGAGTTAACTACGGCCAAGTCGCTGATAACCTTCCGCCGCCGTCGGCGACGGCGAAGCTCCTTCAATCAACTATCATTGAGAAGGTTAGGCTATACGGCGCTGATCCGGCGATAATCATAGCATTGGCGAACACTGGTATTTCAATTGTGATTGGAACGACCAATGGTGATATTCCGGCGTTGGCCTCCGACCCAAATTTCGCCGTTCAGTGGGTCAACTCGAATGTCTTGGCTTACTACCCAGCCAGTAAAATCATCCTCATCACCGTCGGTAACGAGGTCATGACCTCCGGTGATCAGAACCTCATGGGACAACTCTTACCGGCCATGCAAAACATCCAAAACGCCATCAATGGAGGTCAATTCTCAGTTCCCGAATTACACCCAAATTACTTGTCAAAATTATTGAGAAGTTCAGTTTTGAATGTGGGATTTTTAACCATATGAATTGCAGCTTCACTGGGTGGGAAAATCAAGGTCTCAACTGTACACGCCATGTCTGTGTTGGCTCAGTCTGAACCGCCCTCCTCCGGGAGCTTTAACTCGAGTTTTGGCGACACAATGAGATCATTATTGCAATTTCTTCAGGCAAATGGTTCACCTTTCATGATCAACCCATACCCTTTTTTCGCATATCAAAGCGACCCGAGGGCTGAAACTCTGGCATTCTGTCTTTTCCAACCCAATGCCGGACGAGTTGACTCAGGGACTGGTATCAACTACATGAACATGTTTGATGCCCAGGTTAGTTTAATGGGGTATCCCAGGCTGGGATATAAATGTCAGGCCCCATTCCACACTAACTGATATTTGTGAATGGTACCGCAACAATTCTAAACTGTCCACATTCTTTACCAAATTTTTTGCATCAAATCAATATAGATAGTTGAGTTAGTTGGTTCTATAATAGTTGTGCCATATCATTGATTGAAATTTCTTCTCGATGATGATACCCCTATTCGAAATTATCAATACAGCTTTGATGGCTGTGACTGATAGCAACAGGATGTCGCTTTAATATGGCCTGTGCTAAAGTTATGCTTTTAATTGAATTCTGAGTAAATCATACTGTCTATGAATAAAGTGCATATATTTTTACGGAGAGCATTGCTTTCCTGATCCGATCCGATCCTCTAAATTTGAAAATTTGTCCATCTATGCTAAGTTTGATAATCTATCATTAAATTTATTGGATCATACTTTTAGATCATTACCAATTCTACAAGCACATAGTGTGGGTGGGATTCAATGTTTTCTATCCTGATGGTGGAATTTGATGGAAATTGATAAAAATTTGAGCAAATCCATAGCCCACCTACAATTAACATCTATGCTTATCTTGTTTTATTTATTTATTTTTTGAGTTGAAAAAATTGGACGAGATGATTCAGCACAGTAATTTGGATCCTTGGGGTTGATGACAGGTTTTCCTGGCCAAGATGATTTTGTGTATCCAACAATTGGATTTTCTTTGATACTTGTAAGATTTTAGTGAGCCAGTGTTTTTTCTAAATTTATAAATAGGGACCACTGGGGTTGATAACTCTAGATTCTCTACCCGTCAACTGTATGAACTTGTTAACTTCTGGTAGCAATGCTGTAACTTTGGTTTCATCCAATCTACTACAAAAAAAAAATATAGTGAATTTGGTTGGTACATGTGTAAAAGCTCTTTGAGTCTCCATGCGGAATATTCTCATCTGGTTTACAATTATGCACTGCAGGTTGATGCTGTAAGATCTGCCCTGAATGCAATGGGATTTAAAGACATTGAAATTGTGGTTGCTGAGACAGGGTGGCCTTACAAGGGAGATGCTAATGAGGTTGGCCCGAGTGTAGACAATGCAAGGGCCTATAATGGCAACTTGATCAATCACCTCAAATCAATGGTTGGCACCCCTCTGATGCCCGGAAAATCTGTGGATACCTATCTCTTTGCACTCTATGACGAGGACTTAAAACCTGGGGCAGGCTCTGAAAGGTCATTTGGACTCTTCAACCCCAATCTTTCCATGACTTATGACGTTGGTCTTTTAAAGAGTAACCAGGTGAGATAATTAACTTTGTTTTACAGTTATAGTTTTGTGAGCTTATTACCAGGAAGGGAGCACATAATCTCTATTAAAACAAATAACATGAGAATGTTCAGCAAAAATTTGAAAATGATGAATCATTCAGATGCTATTTAGGTCAGTATTATTCACCTCCAGTGTTCTGCAAACAATATATGTCCGAGAAAAATAGAAAATCTTGTGATGTGAGCAAGCATGCTGTATTCTTAGGACTTTTAGTGGGCGTATCTCAGGAATGTTGAACCATTCTAGCCTATGATAGCATTGCATTCAGGTTTTGTTTTAATATCACGGGGAATATAAATGGGTATATGGACTTTGAGGTATGTTCAGTTATTTCAGTAAAATCCATTGTTGTTTTTGGTTGATCTGCCTTTTAGACTCCCGCAACTCCAGCTCCAATAACTCCAGAAACACCTGTATCTCCATCAACTCCAGCGATTCCTCTAACTCCGGTAACCCCAGCAACTCCTGTGATTCCGACCACTCCAGTAACTCCACCAGCAGGTTGGTGTGTGCCCAAATCGGGCCTTTTTGATTCTCGGTTGCAGGCAAATCTTGAATCTTGATTGTGCCTGTGGCCAAGGCATTAACTGTAGTTCTATTCAACTTAGGGATACTTGTTTTGAACCAAATACTGTAATATCACATGCTGCTTACTCAATGAATCTCCTCTATCAAACTGCTTGCAGGAGTTTATGGAATTGCAATTTCTTGCAAACAGCAGCACTCACGACTGCTAATCCTAGTAAGTTTTCTTTCATTCAGGCTACATCTCTTGAATTTGTGAAGATAGCACTTCGAAGGGAATAAATGATAATTTTCAATTGTCTCTTTGAACACGCAATAGTTTTCAAGGCCTGCGGGGCCTCATTGAAGCATATAAGATCAAGTGGGTGGTTAGTTCTCACTATGAAAAGAAAAAAGAAAAGAAAAGCAAAGGTCTCCCTGCCCGCTTGGAAGTAATGTTGTAGGACAAATCTCTTTGACTATTGCTAACCAAATACCCCTGAATATAACACACTAGAGCTTCTTGAGTGTTTTTGTTTGTGTGTGTCTGTTTTTTTTTTTTTTTTTGGGGGGGGGGGGGGGGGAGGGATCATGGATTAATAGGAGAAAATTAAGGTATAATTAGCTTTTCAATTTTGAAATTGTTGCTTTATCGCTTCCCTTTGAAGTAATTTCTTAAGATTTTTATCCTGTAAATATCTCCTGTTTATCTTATTTTTTCTTACTCTTATAGATGCATTTATGTATTTTCTGGTGTAGGTTATAATGGTTGCATTTACCCTGTTTGGATTACCTGTAAGGGGTGACGACATTCTCTTGTAAGATAATTAAAAGTAAAATAGGTTGTGACAATGATAATTTAAAGAATTTTTTTTTGTGTGGATAAATTCATGGAATTTTGTTTGATGGCTCTACATAACTCGGAAGTTTAAATTGTCATTTTTCCTTCTTTTTTTTTTTTTTTAATGAATCACATCCAAAACTATCACGATATTAATAGAAGATAGCAGTGGTAAACTTACTGGCGTGCAACCCAGTTTTGATTATAACGGTTTCCTCATTTTATGTGGCCTGTATATTCTTCTAGCTCTTTTTATTTGTTTTTTCCGGATTATGTATCATTAATAATAGTGGTGTTGGTGCAATGGCGAAGACCAAGAACTTTAGTTGCCGACTACCTATTCTGTTGGACTAGTGGTTGCTATATAAACTTGGGATTTGCACCACCACCTACATTGAGTCAACTTAGATATCTACTCAAATGGTAGAACCTCGAGATATTAACTCCTGAAGCAATGCTCTACTTTCGAACCCTCCTGAGGGGTTGGGGTTGGACTGTCTTGTTTTACCATGTTTCTAGTTTCCAATTAGAGCATGCAACATCAAAAGAGAATAGTGCATCAGCCTACTCTGCCAAGAGCTGGCAGCAGGGCAACGATCTAGTCCAAACCTACTTTTTACGCCTTTGAACCGGATCCCTCAGATTCATACCGAACCGCTTATGGCCTAATCCAAATTGGAGTAGTTGCTGCAAGTTGCAATTCAGGTGGCATAATCAAACATGGCTGGTCAAGAATCAAGACAATGATGCTGCTTTCTGGTATGCCTCCTTGTGAACACTTTTTTAAACAAAATGTTCCTTTCAACTTTGGATAGTTTGTAAACTCACATCCTTTAGGTTTTAATTTCAAAAAATAATCCCTCTTAAGTTTGAATATTTTGTAATTAATTCCAATAGTTTTTTTTAGATCATAAAAATTGACAAAAATTAGACATATTAAAGTCACGAGATGCCAAATTTAATAGAAGAGATCTAATTAATTGATATAATTTACTAATTTAATTAGCATTTATTTGACCATAATATTGGGTGGACTTTCTAAGAACAATTGATTAAGTAAGCAAATTGGATCTAAATCTCCTCAAGTAAGCAAGTTTTTTTTTTTTGGCCTGGCCAGAAGAGCATTCATGTCTTTTTTTCAAACTTGGTTTACTCAGCAGCACTAATCTTATAATAATGATTAACCTTAATGATTGATTGTCAACAACTAATTAAAGTTTGTTTGAAAATACTTATCCCAAACAAAAAAGAAAAGATAAAATAAAAAATTGTTGAAAATTTACGTACCAACATTGTATTGACTTCATTTAAGTGGGACCAAGGATCTTAATTTTCTATTTATTTTTTAGTTGACATATACTTTGGTATGGCGGGACCCACGAAAAAAGCCCTCCGCCCATTATTATACGCTGTGGGGCATAACTCGTCGGACGAAGTGGGCTCCTGCGCGGCTTCAGTCAATGCCAATCTCTAATTCGGAAACCCCACCACGCCCACTCCACCCGTAACGTTCCATCTCTCTCTCTCTAAATCCCCGATTTCTTTCTCACACTCTTGTTTTGCATGAACCAATTGTATTTTACTTCTCAAATGCATATGAATATGAAATAGTAGGGTTCAATTTAAGCTCGTGAACAGCTTTTGATGGCATTGAATGGCTGAGTTTCGAAGATGTCAGTTGTGGAGCTGAAAGAGCTTCACATGGCTGCTTCAGATTCTGTCAATGATCTTAGAGAACGATTGAAGCAGAAGCGTCTTCAGCTTCTTGACACCGATGGTTCGATTTTTTTAACATCTTTCTCTTTCTCATAAATTTGATTTTTGTTTTTCTTTTTTAGCTGATGTTTTTTTAAAAAAAATATTTGTTCCATTTTTTTTAACATTTTTCGCTCCTCTTTTTTTTGTGTTGAATTTACAGTGGCTGAGTATGCTAGGTCGCAAGGGAAGAGTCCCGTTAGCTTTGGCCCAACCGATCTGGTTTGTTGCAGAACCTTACAGGGCCACACCGGGAAGGTAGGGTTTATGGTCGGTTGCTTTTAACTTTGAGATACGGTTATTCAATACTGCGCAGTTCAGGAGCTTCTCTTTTTTTTCTTCCACATTTCGTTTGAATTTTGGCTTGACTTGTTTGTTGTAATTATCGCCTTAAAAAATTTCCTTAGGTCAAATTTCGTTGCTTAGTTTTTGGACTTCTGAAAGGTTTTAAATTTGGAAGTCTTAGAAGTCATAGGATCTAGGGTATGTATTCGATTTGGGAACTTTTAGCTTTTGTTTCTTCAAAAGAACTTGATTGTTTCCGAGAACCTATAGTAGGCAATTTTATATAATTATATATGGCTTTTGAACTCTAGTAAACTGTTACAAACAATTAACTACTCGTATCCTTTATTTTCTAGTATATTTTTTTTCCATACCCTTGATATGTCTGGTTTTGTTAAACCCAGGTGGAGGCCTTTGAATACCCCATGAAACTGAAATTGTGCCGTGCCCCCTTTTTCTTAGACTATCCAAAATGAATCCAGGTTATAATTGTGGTCTTAAGGAGTCATGCTTTTCTGTTCCATTTACATGAAATATTAGGAATGTAATTTATTAAAAAACTGAATAATTGATCATAACTATTGTGATTTTTTTGTCGTAATGTTGTTAAATAGCTTTGGAGTTTAATGATCACATTTATTGGCTTTCAGGATTGATATTTGTATTTGCTTTAGTTTCTAAATTCTAATTATGACCCCACTGTCTCTCCTCTTTTTTTATTTTGCATTAGGAAAGAATTTGGACTGTTCTTGACCTTTGAGAGAATGAGTGAAGCATTTAGAGTTTCGTTATGCTTGTGTGATGTGCTCCTTTAGGGGATGTGCCTTTTTATTTGGACATACTTTCATGGAGTTCTAGAGACATAGGGGATGTCTTGCTAAATTATGGTAGTTGGGTTATGCTTCATTTTTTGTATAATCTCCAAGAAATTTTGCAGGTATATTCACTGGACTGGACTTCAGAAAAGAATCGCATTGTCAGTGCATCCCAAGATGGGAGGTTGATAGTGTGGAATGCTCTCACAAGCCAGAAAACACATGCAATTAAGCTACCTTGTGCGTGGGTCATGACATGTGCATTTTCTCCGAATGGGCAGTCTGTCACCTGTGGTGGCCTCGATAGTGTATGCTCCATCTTCAACTTGAATTCTCCCTCCGATAAAGATGGGAACCTACCGGTGTCAAGAATGCTCAGTGGGCATAAGGGTTATGTATCATCATGTCAGTATGTTCCGGATGAAGATACTCACCTAATAACCAGTTCTGGTGATCAGACATGTGTTTTGTGGGATATAACTACAGGCCTTAGAACATCTGTTTTTGGCGGTGAATTTCAATCCGGCCACACTGGTGATGTGCTGAGGTATGTTGGCCAATCTTCAAAATGTTTTTGAGCTAATTTCTATCATCTATCATGCTAATATCAATTGGACACCTTTTTCTTTTGTTTTCTCTATTTTCCTCCCTTTTAGTGTGCCACCATGTTGAATGTTTTTATGTGCTTGGGTTTCTCTTTAGACTAAATGTACTATTCTTATTCTCATGAACCTGATAAAGTTTATTTTGATGTGCATGTTTCATTTGTCAACTGGAAAATAAAGGAGAAAGAGTCAAGTTTCTACAGGATTTCTATTGACAGGAAATATTTCAACCATTTTCAACTTACTTTTGTATTGAATATGTCATAGATTTGCACTGTGGTTAAAACCTGACTGCTCATACTTTGTTTCTGAATACTGATGGATTAAAATCCTAAATTGGCTATAGCCTCTGCACTCGATCCTTTAACTTATGATTTGGAGTGCATGTTTTTAGTTCAAGTGGTCTGGATTTGACTAAGGTAATGAATATAAAAGTCCATGCAACATCTATTCAGCCACAAACATTGATATCTGATATTTTTTTTGAGGCTTTTTTTTATGCTCAAGATTAATAGAGAGTTGTGTGTGTGCGTATGGTGTGATCCAGTGGAACTTGAGAACGTGTGTAACAAGTATACAAAAGTTTTGAACAGTTAAAACACTTCCCTGTGGTCTTTCTAGTGCTTTTACTCTTATTGCTTATCATGGGATAACTAATGCTATTGCTTGTCGTGGGATAACTACATTATCTCTGTTTGTAACAGTTTTCCTGTGCTCTTTTCAATGCTTTCACTCTAATTTCTTGGCGTGGGTTAGACGAATGCTATTGCTTGTGGTGGGATAACTACATTAGCTCTGTTTAATTTTCCCCCTGCATGTTTTATTAGAAAGTACAATTGTATGGAAGCCAATCTTCATTTCGTTTTTTACATTTTCACACTATCCTTTCTTATTGTTGAGCTTCAACTTTTATTTGTTGAATGCTTTTGGAGATATTGTGAAGGTTACATAGTTTTTTGTGAAAAGTTGTGACTTAGCCGATATATTTTCCGGTTTTAATGTAATAATTACCAAGGTCTTCTCACAGATTCGTGTTTTGCATTTATTTTACTATTTCAGTGTCTCTATCAATGGATCAAATTCAAGAATGTTTGTGTCTGGGTCTTGTGATACAACTGCCCGTTTGTGGGACACTCGTGTTGCAAGTCGAGCAGTCCGAACATTTCATGGTCACGAGGGAGATGTTAATGCTGTTAAGTTCTTCCCAGATGGAAATAGATTTGGAACTGGTTCAAATGACGGAACTTGCAGATTGTTTGACATTAGGACTGGACACCAGCTTCAATTGTACTATGAGCCGCATGATGATAATGGTGTTCCTCCTGTGACTTCCATTGCATTCTCCATATCAGGCCGGCTTCTCTTTGTTGGGTACTCCAATGGTGACTGCTATGTTTGGGACACTTTATTGGCAACGGTATATAGTAGCTATATTAGCTTGGTTACGATGCTCATGCATTTACATTTGCGTCAGAATTCTTTTGTATGACACTTGTCAATGTCATCCTGTAGCTTCACAAAAGATTCTTCATCTCTGCACTTTAGGTCCTGAACGTGATTTATTTTTTCTCCTAATAGTATATTTCAATATGGTTGGGCTATCAGTAGTTCACGCAGTTGATAACTTGTGACGCTGGCGGAAATAAAATCTATGAAATGTTACACGGCCTGTCGTGTGCAATAAAGAGGAAAATTGATTCACTGATGCCAGATACTTTGTCCTTCAACGTTAGGAAAATGAAACTTAGAAAGTTAAAGGGGTTGCTGTATTTCCTCCCACCAGGAAAAGCTGTATGATTTTGTGCATAAGAAGGGGAAATATACACTTCATGATGCGGCAGACCTGAAAATTAATGTTCATTTTTACTAATTTAAGGAAAAATGATTTTATCAAGTTTTTTTGAGTTAATCGTGTGACCACTGCAATTCCTACATTTATTTCTCCCCTTCTATGATGCATGAGTGTGTATTTGTGTCTATCCATGAATAGGTGGCTTTGAACTTGGGATCTCTTCAAAACTCTCATGAGGGTCAGATCAGCTGCTTGGGATTTTCAGCTGATGGGAGTGCCTTGTGTACAGGAAGTTGGGATACAAACCTGAAGGTTAGTCAATAGTGTTTAACACTTTGGTTGGCATTACATTGAGATGCTAATGCTTGTATCCTTTTCTCTTTGACTCAATCGATAGTCATGGTAGATCGTTGTTTGCACAGCAACAACCAGAAAAACAATGCAGTTTTCACTTTGCATTTATTCTTGATTGGTATGATTTTTTGATCACACGGGCAATGATATCTGAGATTTTGCTACAAATTTTTCTCCCTGGCAGATTTGGGCTTTTGGAGGGCATAGGAGGGTGATCTGAGTAATTAAGGCGGCGTTGTCCTATGATTCTCTCTGTCTTTCCAGGTGAATCCCTTTGTAACCCCGGTAACGTGGTTTGAGAGACCATAATGCCGATTGTTTCTGAATGTAATCTTTATGGACCAACAGTTTTAGTAATAAAACGGATAAAATTCTTGGGTAATAACAATTGGAGAGGCCAATTTGTCTGTCTTGATTTCGTCCGACGAGGATGACCAGTCACTATACAGCCGTAACTATTCCAGGAAATACTACATGGGCTTATTCTTCTTACATTAGTCCATATGGTCGTTTTACTCAACAGGCTGCTATTTCTTCATACGCAATTCATCAAACAGATGGCACACGGCAGGCCAATGTATCACCATCAACCTCCGACTGTCATTGCAGTGCACCACAACAGGAATGAAGCTAACAAGTGGGTTCTCTTCATGTGTAGACACCTACAATCAATGCTCTTGCTGCAACTTAGATGGCTTCTAATATTTTTGTTTTTTTATTTCCTTTCTTATTGGATCACGCACCGTAAATTCAAGCAGAACTTACTGTATGTAAGTTGATCCCTTGCTCATCATTGAAAAGCATACAATTTGATAAATTCTGGGTGTCTGTTGTTGAAGTTGAACTCATACAAAAAAACGCGAGTGCTTTGCGCGAGCCTTATTAAATCTTGATCGGTATAAAAAAGATGGGGGGTTCAACCATGTAGATAGATACTTGAATATATTTTTATTATTATTATTATTTTTTTATCTAAAAACGTAACATATTGTCATGGTCGCACCATTTGTTATGACATTGAATTCAAGGTGTAAAATAAAATTAACTTTAAAAGTAATAATTTGATAAATAAGTTTAAAATTATGTTATTTTAATTTAAAAAAATTTAAAATAAACGCGGTAGAAGGAAAATTAGACATAGCTATCTATGTCCAGTTAGTTACTTTTCCCGCTAAAACGCAAAATGGTTCACTTCTTCTATGCATCAACAGCCTCCTTGTTCTCCCTCAACAAAACCCCAATTTCTGCTCTCTCTCTCTCTCTCTCTCAAGTTCTGTACTTCTCACCATGACAATCTCCGCTACCTCAATCCCTCGGCATCATGAACCCAGAGACCAAAACTTGCAAAAAACCCATCCCCAGAAAACCCAGTCGAGATCCTCACATTCTCGAACCCAATGTAGAATCTTGTTGAAGGACAACACTTGCTTATCTTCGAAACTCGGGCTTACAAATGTTTACTTTACCCACTACTTTTTACATGCTCATCTTTTGAATACCCGTGTTGGAAAACTAGAATAGAAAGTAAGGTTTTTTTTGCGAGGAGTTGGGTTTTCTCATGAAGAATCGCCTAGGGTTTGTGCCAGCGATATTTTTGGGAAAATAATAGGCATTCATTTGCTTTTGAAGCTGAGGAGTGTTGGGATCTCTTTGAAAAGAATGATGTTGTGGAGTGACGAAAAGTTCTACGCGAAATAGAAGTAAAATTGGTAATGTTACTCCTCAATCCTGAGATTTTTCATCTTTTTAGTTCATGTGTGTGGGTGTGGGTGTGCGTGTAGGTTTTTTATTTATCCCACACCCATTAAGTGATTTATGGCATATTTAAAGATCGCTTAATTGGGGTTGCCATCAATTTCTGCCATAAGTAATTGGATCCAATTTTTAGGAAAGGTCTTGGTGCAGCAGTAAGGTTGGTTCATCGTGGCATGGGCAGGTTCTGAGTCATGGAGTCAATCTCTCTGCTAATGGGTTAGGACCTCCACAGTGATAGGATCTAGGAGTCTAGTGTATCGTTCTGCTTTTTTTTAGGAAACAGGAGATATTTATTGATTTTGCTATCTCTTTTCTCATTCTGATGACTTTGCATTGCAATCCATCCATTTTAGAAACTGAAAACAGATAATCTCATGCATTTCTCGAACAAACCTCGGATTTGAAGAGCATTTGATTATTTTTCGTATCATAAACGAATCTCTGGTTTGCCTGTTGGTGTGCTCCAATTACACTCTTGATATCACCAGGTATCATAGCCAAACAAAAATATTCACGATGCGTTGATGAATGATATTTATCCACAACTTGAAAGACGCCCCAAGGCCGGACTAAAAGGTCAGCATTCAATCCTTGGAAATGGAATGTGATTGATGGAAGGTTTTGAAAACCTTCCGGCTTCTTTCTCTCGTAGCATAAATTTGCACCCCGCTGACTGCGGTACCTACTCAAGTTTTTAAATCTTGAAAAATGATTTTCCAGCTCTCTTTTTAGTATCTCATAAGCAGGCCTGATAAGGCGTGAATATGTTGTACCATTGTCTATTATGCATCCTCCAGTACTGCCATTTCTTCCCAAAGCAAACACTGCTGCATCTATATTAAGTCTTCGCCCATTGAGGCTAATGCCTCTCAAGTCTAGGAAGTATTGTCCTCTGTTGTTAATATGTTTCAATGGTGTTCTTGCTAAACCTCGTTGTTCGGGTATATCTGCACCGAACCTTAGATATGTCATCGGTATCCTTGGAACTGGCCGAATGTATTGATTAAGTACTGGAAGGCAGTATGAAAATCTTCCATCACTCACAGAGTGAATCTGATTCACAAACGAGAACTGACCCCATCCTAGACCCATTATTC